TGAATGTATTGAAGTTTCTTGAGTGTTTTGGATGGTGAACTCATAGAGGAGACTGTTGCAGTAGTCTAGTCTGGAGGTGATGAATGCGTGGGTGAGGGTCTCAGCAGCTGAGAATGAGAGTGATGGGCGGAGGCGGGCGATGTTTCTGAGGTGGAAAAAGGCTGTTTTAGTAATTTGTTTGATGTGTTTGTCGAAAGAAAGGGTTTGGTCGAAGATGACACCAAGGTTACGGATGTGAGGGGGGGGGGAGGAGCACTGTGGAGCCATCGATGGTGAGGGAGAAGTTGTTGGTGGATTTGATTTTTACACTTTGATCTCAAGTGTTGAAAAATGAAGCCAATGCAGAAGTGTAAAAAACTGCAGTTCCCCAGCTGTCCAGTTGAGACTCCCTCAAAAAGCCCCGCAAGTCACATACAAACCCATTGAAAAACACCCATTTCAACATCAGAAATAAACATGTCCAATGTGTGATTATTTTTAAAACTCATCTGTTTTGATTTTAAAGGATAAAACATATCCATAATTGGGGGCATGACTGAAAGCAAGCATGTGTGTTGTAGCTCTTTGTCAGGAGAAGCTTAAGGCCTGCCTCAAATCCATCTATTTGACTGTTTGATACAGTCATGATGAATTGTATTCACTATATCACTTAACCATACCTAATTCCTCCACTGTTGTTTGTATTTAGTGCCGATTAAAAAATGATTAGCATGCTAACACAAAAAGCTAAGATGGTGAAAAATGACAAACCCTCTAAGATGTATAGTATGACGGCTTGTTGAGCTATAATGAGCAAGCTGGAATAACATTTTGCTCAAAGCAGTTTTGTGCTTGAGTACAGCTTCACAAAGTCATTAGCACTGCTGTAAATTATCGTTTCCATCCAAAACTGAACTCAACTAACATTTTTCTTCTTCACAATCATCCCCTGGTTGCAGCAGTCACATTCATCTGAAGACAGAAAACTTGATGAAATAGCTGAGGACAGCGCAGTGACCATCTGCCTTAAGCTCAGTAGCCCTGCAGTTAAGCCATGATGCACGCTTAGCAGAAATGTTAGCTCTCTACTGCAAACAATCTCAACAGCGAGGCTACAGGGAAGAGCGACCTTTAGGCCTTGCTCAATTTTTCTCTTTTTGTTTAGTCAGCCTGCCTGGAAGGCTGCACTCTGTCATCTAGCTGGTGTTCCAAATTTGACTCGAAGCAGAGACTCGGCCTGTGAGCCAAGCTGAAATATTACCCACAAATGCACACATCCTCATGAACAGTTACAGAGAGCTTGAATGCTTTCCCATTTCCCACTGACTTGTCACACTAACCCAATTTTTCTTATTCTTTTCTAATTGTCTATTGTAGTTTCAAAACACTGTAGGACCTTACCTACTGAAATCTGCAACTGGCATTTCTCACCTAATAAGGGATACAACGGGGCAGAGTTATTAAAGCAAATGTCTAAAATTCCTGCCACAGTTTTATCAGATCCTTCCAGAGAAACAGGGAGCAAATAGTAGCTTAATTGTGTTTTTTATTGTGACTGTGTGTACCCTATAATTTTCAGAGGCTGCAGTTTAACAACAAGCTGTAAAATGTGTTATTTTTGTAAACTTGTTAGAATTTCAATCTTTTCCATTGAAGCAATCCTTGTTAAACATTGTATATTGTTTTTTTAATGTTAGTTTATTTTCCATTCTCTGTATCAGACTTGTTATTGCAAGAGTTACCTCCCTCCTCACCTACCCCTCTCTCAGTGTTCTGATTTAGTGCAGCCGTTTGTAAGACTGATGTCCATTCAGATATGTAGCCCAAAGCTGTTTCAGTTCGTATTTCTTTGAAATATTTTAGACCAAAAATGATCTTTTGTCCTGTTCAGATCTGTTGGCTCTCCTTGATTGTACACTTTTGATGCCACTCCACCACTGTGCTACTACAGCAGGGTTAACAGCTGGAGATGGAGGGGCTCACATGGAAAAAAAAAACATGTAAGAATCATGTTTAGCGCTGTCCTGAGTGTGAACACAGACCTTGGAACAAAAAGCCCAGAGGAAGTTTGACTTCACTCTTTTTTCAAGATTTATTTTTGGGCTATTGTGCCTTTACTGTAGAGACAGGACAGTGGATCGAGTTGCAAATCAGGGATAGTGAGAGTGGCGAACGAAATGCGGGAAAGGAACCACAGGTCAGACAAGATCCAGGGCCCTCTGCCCCGAAAGGACAACAGCCTCCAAACATGGGGCGAACAAACCAAGGACTAGACCACAGGAGTCATATGGTTTTCTAATATTATTCACTGTCAAATAATTTGTCAGTTTTACAAGAGGCAGACCTCTTATCGTTTGTTTCAATTTGGAATTAGATTCTTAGGTGAAATACGTAAAGTCTGTAACCGAATCATCAATCTGTGCAGTCCTATACTTTTTTTTTAAATAGAGAGACTGGACAGTGGATGGTTTTGTAAATCGAAGAGAGAGAGTGGGGAATGACATGCATACGGGAAAGGAGCCACAGGTTGGATTTGAACCAGGACCGCCTATGGGTCACCGGCGCCTCCATATCAACACAGGTGTCCTAATACAGCTAATGCCCCACTCCTTACAAATCCTAAGCTGTCAGTCAAAAATTGTAGAGCCTGATTAGCTGAATGAATAACAGCATGAAAGATTAATGATGTGACTTCACTGGTTTGCACTCCAAAAAAACAAACTCTACCTTCCAATTTCCACAGCTACAAGACCAAAGATGAGAGGCAACAAAGGCGAATTCTCACATCATCTGTCAAGGGATCTCGCTCTAGCACCTTTATGGGAGGCCAAAAAACATGGAGCTCTCCCCCTTTTTTTTACCTTTTCATGTTATATGGGTCTATAAAAGTGAGTGTGCAACAGAATTGTGTGTTGTGATGTAATACTGCTCCCTATAACAGCATTTTAGTGTGGTTGTTTAATTCAAAGTTGTTTTGAATGTATTTCTGTCTATATAAAAAACGAACAGAGTAGCCACCAGCTGATGCAATAAGAATAAATCTGCAACAGTACTGAAGTATTATTGTTCAAACGCAGGGGAAATATTGGATTTTCAACTTCTTGGAAAGAAAATGTGTTTCATATTTGTTCAAACTGCACATGTAACATGTCAAATGTTTTATTGATCTAAAATTGCTTTTTGCAGCGTGGTGTTTTTTTTTTTTTCAGAGGGCATCAATCATAAATTGTGGTTTCTCTGTCATAGCTGGTGGACAGATGGTTTGTCCTTGTCGTGCTGCCTTCATGCATGCAAAAGCCAAATTGATGCTTTACAATGAATGTGTTTTCTCCATGATGTTAGCGTCTTGTCGAGCTGCATGCTCTCATGCAATTCAAGGTCACACCAAGTTCAGCCAAACTGTTGATTCAGCCGCTGTAAAATGCACAACTGCCGAATAAAGTTACAAGGACAGACAAAATATGCCCTGCATTCATTCCGATGACAGAATGACTGAGGCTAAACGGTGTTATTGAGGCCTTTTTTCACTGTTTCTTAGAAACAAGGGTCAGACTTAAGGCAAAGATGGTAAGAATTTTGAAGTACAACTGCAACAGTTTGTGTTTAAATTGAAGTTGGCTTGAAATAAAGGGACTTGACATTGTTTGTTTCTCAATCCACAACACAAGTATACTTTGTAAGACAGATTTCTATAGTGAAATGTAGATTTAAATCAAATGAAATATTTACATTAAATCCAAACATCTTTTTTTTTTCCTTTTGTTAGGCTTTCTTCTGCTTTGATTTCAGTTTGAAGGAGGGGGGGGGGTCCCACTTTCTGATCTAAAAAATAATTTATTGCAGTTGATTGCTGATGGAGTCAGTTCCAATTTCATTTGTATGAAAATGAACAGAGAACATTCCTCGGTCTCCCTGCTGTATAAACTGAAAAACTGGATGGCGCCTCTCAAGACTGGAGTAGATGAACTTGCCTACCTTGGTCCTGAGCCACACTTGTGTTACATACCGTACACACTGTGAGGGCAGCATCATCATCACAACCAGACAAACTCTGCCTTTCATACCGGCCCTCTGAAGACCTGCATCAGTTATGAGTTCAAAACTTTTTCTCCTGTCACTATTTTTTGGTTTTGAAAAACTTGAAGCTTGAAGCTTTGATCCTTTAAACAGAGTAATCACCTGTGCCTGTTCAATAATGGCAATTGATTGATTTGTTTCAACTACCTTTCAGGAGTACTTTGGCCACCATTTAGGGCCACACCCTTTGTGCTTGAAGAACAAATATAATACAATGTTTTTCATTCTTTCCCTACCTGTAAATTGTACTTCTTTAGATGTAAAGAAAGGCCTTGTATCATGATTTAGAAATGTATGTTTGTGAGACAATATCAGGTAAACTATAATTTAACAGCCATATGAACAATAAGATTGACCAAGCTTACTCCTCCTTTTGGCCTAAAAACATCTATTCATACCCCAGGCCACTTTCCTCTAATGAAGTCTAATGAAGCCACCTATGACCTTAATTATTGCCAAATAATCATTGCAGACAGTTGTCAATCAGGTCACCACACAGAAGGGCTACAATTAGCCTCATATATCGTGATTCTGATAGGCTGTGAGCACATGACATTACTCTTAATAGAAACTGTGTTGCACCCTCTTCTGGGGGGGACAGAACATAGCAACATTTCTACAAACATCTGATCTAGTTTGAATTCAGTCTTCATCATTTTGTATCATAATTTCGATGTGACAGCAGCCTGACTCACTTTGTTTTTATGAAAGCACTTTTGCACATCTATTAGCGGAACATTTTTTTTTACACGTTCATCCCTTTTGATACGTTTAGTATTCATTACTTTAATTTTAAAATCAACATGACGTAGAAGTTATATTGTCATGCAAACGCCCAAACTTCTTAAAACCCACACTATCGTTGATACAGTTGAATTATTTCCACATAACGTCGACCTCAGGTCAGATGGCGCTCGCTCCTCTGATTGGTCCTCGTCGCTCTCTTGATGACGTCCTTCCTTCTTCGCCGCAACAACACGTGTGCGGTACACAGTTCAGAGCTGAAGGTGGAGAACCAGCGACTAAACTTCAGATTTAAGACACCGCCGTGTCATTTTTTCTTATCCGCGGAAGGCTTTGCCGACTAAGCTTTCAAAATGGTGAAGCCACGTTTTAAGGGGAAGAGCTCGATAAACACCTCAACGTCCAGCAGCAACCCTGGTGAGCTAATCCCCGTTAGCATTCACGTTTGTTTACAGCTAATGCTAAGTGCTGCTTATTCTCTGAAAAGGCAATTAAGGGTTTTCTTATTTTATGAATTTAACTAGTCAGTGTCTGTAAAATGTAGTGGGCAATGTGTAGAATAAAAAAAAGTATGGAGTGTGACTTTTACACTAACATGTACTTGGGGTGTGTACGTGGAGAAAAAGGCATTTCAAATATGACAGTTGTCAGCTCTAAGGGAAGGGTCTGTGTTTAGTGAATTAGTTAAGAGTATTGTCTCTTACAATGAATGCATTCTGATTTTAAAATGATAATTCATGTGGAAAACTGTCAATTTGATCCACAGACCGAGCAAAAGGTGCAGGTGGGAGCAACATGAGGGACCGATCCACAATCAAGCGTCTGAATATGTACAGACAAAAGCAGAGATGGTAATTGATGTTACACTTTTTGCATTGAACTTTCGAGTCATTGTATGCCAGATTTTTTTTTTTTTTTTTGAGTGTCAATAACATACATCAATAACTTCTGCGTTTCTGCTTTCAGTAACAACCGTGGACAAGTCATCAGACCTTTACAGTTTCAGTCCACAGTGGCTCCAGGGACAGTGGCCAGAGTTGAACCCAATATCAAGTGGTTTGGTAAGTGCACTTCCTTGTCCTTTTTTATTTTTATTTTTTTTGTAGCAGTTTTGTGGTTGCTGTCAAAGTGAATTAGAATTTATTACTGTAAATATTTATCTTATTTTTACCTAATTTTATTTTATCTATTTTACCTTATCTTATTTTGCCTTATTTTGGTTGTATTGCACCGCGGGACGGAGACAAACGCAATTTCGATTCCACTGTATGTCTGGCATATTTTGAAATTGACAATAAAGTTGACTTTGACTTTTTTTTTTTAAATAAATGTTGTATTTGATCTGTGTGTTTTTTTAGTAGACCATATTACTAAATGTCATATTACTAATACACTTTATATAAAAAAACATCATCTTTTAGAGAGTGGCCGTGCAGATTATTTCAGATAAACTTGTGTCTTCATGGATTACGGATAAATGTGTATAAGGTTGGAGATGAGAGAGACAACACTGAAAACATGGATTTTTCTTGCTGAACAACTCAATGTTTGGGGTTGAGGTTTATTTGACAGCTTGTTGGGATTTGAGTTGTATCATTGTGTATACATTATAGAGAAGAAAGAGATACATCAGGCCTTTTGGAATTTATGAGATCTATTGTGATTCTGTTTGGCCTTATAGCGTGTCCTTGCAGCACGTGAGCGTCAGATATGGAGTTGCATCTGTGAGCTGAAGTTTGGCTCCCTGTGTTAACACAATCAAAGAACAACACTAAAATCATGGATATGGATGTTTTTAATGCAGCTCCATCTCCACTTTGTGAACCGACTAGCCATCTCTGAGCGAGAAAAGTGAAAGGAAAATCAAATTTGCCTGTCAGACACTTCCAGCACATCGTTGATCTCCCTTGTTCTTTGTCCCTGGTCCATGTTGACAGAAATTAACATAGAAACATTAGGATCAACCTGTTCGCACCACATGCTTGTTAGGACAGAGAGTGAAATTGCGTAGTCGCACGCATCACACAAAACATAGTCAGATACGTGACATAAATCCGCAATATGATGCGTGAGATTTTCTGTCCCTGCACCCCTAGTAATTGGAACATGAAAAATCTAACTTTGCATCTTCATATTTCATCTGTATTTCAGCAAATACCCGTGTGATCAAGCAGTCGTCCCTCCAAAAGTTCCAAGAGGAGATGGGAGCAGTACAGAAGGATCCATATCGTGTTGTGATGAGACAGAGCAAACTTCCCATGTCCCTGTTGCACGACAGAGTCAAAGCCCATGTGAGTATGACAGGTTTACTCTGCTGTAAAATGATCTCTATTTTTAGGCCTTCTGTCTGTATAAAGGCTCTAGTCTCTCCAGAAGGTGTGCTTGGGTGTTGTTTGTTTGAACTCTACACCTTTTTTTAATGAATTTTATTGAAGGTATATTAGGCACGTAAAACTATGATGTTTTTATTAATCAGTGCAGAAGAAGAATCATGCCCCCTTTTTAACTCAGTAGTCTGGTGCTTTGGATTTTATGAGGTGAGGGGAGCATGAGGCTTCACTTTAATCCTCATTCAATTCTCACTTTGGCCCACTGTGACCCTGAGTGTGCTGGCTCCACGCTTGGCATCAAGAGCTGCACTCTGCCAGACTTTGAATTCTCCACCTCATAACCAACGCAGATTCAAATACGATCCAGTTCTTCTTGTTCCCTTCAAATATTTCATTGGACATGTTTCAGTCTTTTTGCCTACCATTTTCCTGCATGAATTTGAGAGCTTTTTTGAATTTTGAAATAACTAAAGAAAGAGATTTCTCTTTTTAAGGGACCAATATTTAAGCTGTCTACTAAATTAAATCATGAACCTTAATTTATCATCAGACATTAAAAAACATTCTATGTTGGAGTGCTGGTTTGTCTGTCGTTATGTCCTCCTTCTAGGTTTAGATTCTGGTCCTGAATGGTCTGTTTATGTTTTGACCAGTGGAGGTAAGCGGTTTTAAGGCACCCCCACACAGCCGTTGTGAACTTCCTTTGGTTTGCCAGGCAAATTTCACGTGTTGCAGCGATGGAAATGGGCAGGAACTGGTTCAGATAGCCTCTGCTTTTTCTAATAAGCTCCACGAGCAGAAACGTGGTCAAACGAGGGTAAATATTGGGAATGATTTTGAAAGATGGAGCGAGATTAGAACACAGAAATGTTTCAAGACCGATACAGAGCTGGCTAAACACTGAAGCTTCAGTGTCAGCGACATGGCAACCTGCTTGAACATCGACTCTAGGAGGGAGGAGACGGAGGGAGACAGCTCCCTCCAATGTTTTGAATTTGGACTGCAGTAAACTTTTAAACACTAGGTGTCAGGGTTACATACTGCTCCTTTAATAGTTATGTTAAGTTATGTTTCGTTACAGATGTTACTATTCAAAGTATATTGACATGTCAGTGTAGCATACATTCTTATCATTCTCATGCAGAACATTATTTTTTCCTCCATCCTTTACATATGGGCTTATAGCTCTTTCATGACCCTGATGTTTTTGATAAGCCAGTTTAAACAGATGCCACTCCGTCTTAATGTCTGGCAGTTGATTGTTTTTGTTTTTTCAGCGAGTCCTTGAATTAAACCTGAGGTTTAATACCTTTTTGGTAAAGTCCTGGTCGTGCTTTTTCAAAAATTCAGGGAGCTCTGTAGACAATCTTGGCAACCTGAAGCCTTGAACAGCGTTGTTTCCGACCAACCTTGTAAACTTCAGTCCTCGCTCATCTCGTGGTGGTGTCCTAATACAGATATGGTTTGTGATTCAACTGCGCTGGAACATTTAATACACCCTGGCACAGACTTATTGGCTGCTTTATTGGCGTCTTTGTTACATATTTTGGTGTTCTGTTTACTGTTTGGATTAGTTCTGTGATAGTGTTTGAGGCCCCTGGAAGGACTGTAGCAGAGGAGTGTATTAGGATTGGTCAAACAAACTTTTATCTGTTAAACACTAATAGTTTCCAGGTCACCACTTGTAACTTATGTAAAGTTGGCAACAAATTCTCAGCCTTTGGTCGACATCAGTGGCAACCACTTTAAAACATAACAATAAATAACAAGATGTGCAGCCAACATGTTTTGTTTTTGATATGTGGCAATAATGTGTGGATGTTGTTGCTTCAGGGTGAGCCTGAGCCTTGGTACGATATCTCTGTCTATAATCATGAATCACTTCTGCAGTATACCTGAACATTAACCTGAAGGACACTCTAAACCTTCACTGTGGTCGATGTTATTTAAATGAAAAATGTTTCAGCTACTTGAAGGGCAACTTTCAGTGGGTACATTTTCTTTCCCCAATATTAATACAACATGTCTGTGCATGGCTGTCGTCAAGGCCAAAACTTGACTTCATGTTTGTTACATGTAGGGCCCGACCGAAATGGGATTTGTGGGGCCAATCCTGAAATCGATATTGGGGTGACAAAAGATCCGATACCAATATATCTGTCAATATCTTTCTTAGATCTATGTTCGATCTATAGAGATGTATTGCTTTGATTAACAGGTGACAGGTTTCCTCGCTCATGTGGACTGACCACGTTGAACCACAAAATCAACTTCATTGCTTGATCACTCTGCGTGATGAGTATGAGTACATTTTGTCTCATACTGCAAATTTTTCACAATTAATAGGAAAATAAACGCATCGGACTCAGTGTGTAAAGTCCTATGTTTAGTTGAAAATATATTTTCTAACCCATTTTCCTTCACATTGAGGAAGAATCCTACATCTACTTCTTATCTTAATATACACCCAGTGTTGTTTGAACATGTACCAAGAAGCAGTTTTATTTAAGAAATCACAAAATTCTATCAAATCTGAATGAAACTTTTCTAGATATCACCGTTCCTTATCTTTCACAACAAAACTATTCTCAACAGTTTTATTGTTGTTTTTTAAAAACATACAGATAGAGGTGTATAGCTCATCCTTTTCCTTTTGTCTCTCTACTTTTAGAACTCTAAGGTCCACATTTTAGACACGGAGGGTTTTGAGACCACATTTGGGCCCAAGGCTCAGAGGAAGAGGCCCAGTCTGGTGGTGGGGGACGTAAAGGACCTCCTAGAACAGGCCGAGGCCTCAGCTGAGACCTACAGTGCAGACAAAGACAAAGACTTGGTGACTGAGGACACAGGGGTCCGGTAAGACCTTCAGATTCTATAATGGATCGAGCCTACTGGCTACTCTGACTGGCCAGAGGCGAGGTCTCTCACTTTTCATATTTAAAGGTTAAAAGAAGTCGCTTTCTAATCCATTGTAATTCCATTTTCAAACAGGGAGGAGGCCCGTGAGGAAATCTTCAAAAAGGGTCAGTCCAAGAGGATTTGGGGAGAACTTTACAAGGTACCCTTTCTGTTCTCCTCTCCTTAGAGTTCATTGAAGGAAAATTGGTTGGTACATTGAAGTGTTACAGGGTCCTTACCGTACATACCTGACTGTTTCATATTTGTAGGTAATCGACTCATCGGATGTCATCATCCAAGTGCTGGATGCTCGGGACCCCATGGGAACACGCTCCAAGAGCATAGAGGCATATATGAAGAAGGAGAAACCTTGGAAACATCTCATCTTTGTTCTTAACAAGTGTGATCTCATTCCCACCTGGGTCACGGTATGACATTTACAACACATTCATCAAATGTGACTGTGTGGCTTCTTTTGGTATTGAACTTTGTGTGTGTGTGTGTCTTTTTGTTTCCGCTCAATTTTTAACCAGAAACGGTGGGTCGCTGTTTTGTCACACGAGTACCCCACGCTGGCTTTCCATGCCAGCCTCACCAACTCGTTTGGAAAGGGCTCCCTCATCCAGCTGCTCCGGCAGTTTGGAAAGGTAGGATCAGCTTTTTAAACCTGTTAGGTTTGTTCCGTTTGTTGTTTTGTACCGTCTGAGGTCAAAACTGTAACTGTCTCTGTGAGTGACACATTTCTGTCAATAGCTGTAAAACAGAGTGGCTATATTAATGTTAAAATGAAATCCTTCATAATAAACCCAAATTTAGAATCAATGGCTTCAGCCTAAAAGCGTCCCTTCAGATATTTGATTACAAATGAAGAGTTCCTCAATACTCATTCTGCTCTAATAAACTTGTAACTTTTGTTGAAATGGTTCATCTCTCTCTACCACCAGACCTGAACACACAGGGTTGCTTAGTAGCCGGGTAATGTAGCATGTTTTGTGAAAGCTGGAGCATTAAAGATCCAGATACATTTTAAATGTAACGTTCTCGTTAGAGTTAATATTTCTATTCAAAGAGGCTTTTATGAGAGAGTCACTAAACTTTGTGTTTCCTTGTAAAGAATTTCTCTGTTGGACCACTTTCACCAAGAAGTCTGAATGTAACGAGGCAAAAACAAACCTTCTCTAAAGCCGCCCATCAGGGGACATGAAATAAAAGATAGTTGTATTTATTTCTTTTAAAGGTTTACATCTTCATGATCATCTTGGCCACATATAAAGATCCCTTTTAAAGATATCCTTTAGTATGTGTTTTGAACAAACTACACTGAAGTTTTGGACTGGTTACCTTTTTTTTTTATTGGTAAGGGAAACAGAGCCTGATCTGAAGTTACTCCTGTGACATGAAGACAGGATGAGGCCGTCGTTCAGGAAACACAACACTCTCTGACTGTCATTTCTTTCCCTTCACAGCTCCACACAGACAAGAAACAGATAAGTGTGGGATTCATTGGCTATCCTAACGTAGGAAAGAGCTCGGTCATCAACACGCTGCGGTCGAAGAAGGTCTGCAATGTAGCCCCCCTTGCAGGAGAAACAAAGGTAAAGTCTTAGCTCCTTCTCAACAATGCAGACTCAATGTAAACCTTTTGATATGCAACATCCCACACAGAGAAATAGAAGTCCACTCTGAAATCTGAAAGATTGAATACTGTTTGGTTGTCAGTTTCTCCGAAGACTGTGCAGACTTTGAATAAAGAACGTAAACAAACTTACATACAGATTGAGAAGCAAAGAAGGGACATTAGTAGAGTGATGTGATCGTGCTTTGCCTATTGTGTTTGCGCCCTAAACTGTATAACTGAAAAAATCATTTTTATCTTTAATTGGATCTCACTCTCTCTGGCTGTTTATTGTATTTGGAAACATGTCCGAAAAGCCTGAATATCCAAAGCAGGGTCAAGGGGAAATACTTTTGTTCTTTCATGCATCACAAAAGCTGTGAACTTCGACCGCAGCAGAGGGGAGAGTTTCTTACGCACCTATCAATCTGAATCTTCAGGGCCTGTTGTCAGCACTTCCTACTTGCCTATTCTGTGATTGTTACCAAGTACTCAACTGTAGGAAAGCCAAACAGACTTACTCGCTGAGGAACAATCGTGACCATGGTTACTTCCTTTAGTAAGAATTCACGTTTGTTATTTTCATGTGAAATGTTACATATGATGTGTTTCCCTGATGAAGCAATCATGGGGGTTAAAAGTTGTTTGTAGCATCAGGGGAGAAGAGAGAATAAAGAGTTGAAGTCTTGACTTTGCTCTACCACAAAACTATTTTCTTAATATTAAGCTGACTTTGTAATCAACCCGAAATAATTCGACCGCACAGCCAACATTGATCTTCTTCCTTGGGCTCAAAGGTGTGGCAGTACATCACTCTGATGAGGCGAATCTTCCTCATCGACTGTCCTGGTGTCGTCTACCCTTCAGAAGACAGTGAATCTGATATCGTATTGAAAGGAGTGGTACGTATCGTTCATTATTTTCAAGTTTTTATCAAGATTTCAGCTTTGCATACCTCTGTTAACTCCAGTGCCATACACTGGAGGTGAATCAAAGTTCATCCTCCACAGCCCTGAAAAACAGCAGAAGTAATTCAGGATAATCCACCGACTGTTAATGTGGCATTTTTGACCGCTTGAGTATCTCCAGCAGAATGATGAAAGTATTGCTATAGCTAACACCAGACTGTTTTAAAAAATGCCGTGATCAGCTCGGATTCTAATCCTCTTGGTCCTTTTTCCAAGATCCAAGGTTTAGCATGTAGGCCATGCAGTCTCCGTAACTGAAAGGTTGCAGGCTCATATTTTGTTTTTTAAATGCACGCCCCTGTCTTCACCTTCCTCTCAAAGGTTCAAGTGGAGAAGATCAAGTGCCCAGAGGAGCACATCGGGGCCGTACTGGAGCGGGCCAAGCCTGAATACATTCAGAAAACCTACCGCATCCCTACTTGGAACAACGCTGAAGACTTTCTTGAGAAGCTAGCATTTCGTTCTGGGAAACTCCTGAAGGTCTGGATGTCCTTGTTTTTATTTTCTTGTTAAAAAAATGGACATACTTTGCATTTCATGATCAGTACGAGTAATATTCTCAGTAAAGCAAGGTATTTTGTTTGTCCGTTTTCTAAAGTACAGGACAGTGTCTTAAAAGTAAAACATCTGGTGCATCTGCCTCGCCCATTATGTGCTTTGTTTTGGAAAGCTGTCAGTCATAAACAACATGAACAACTCATTTTAAATACCAAGCCTGAGCAATGTATTCTTTGTTCTGACAGGGCGGGGAGCCAGATCTCTCCACTGTCTCCAAAATGGTGCTGAATGATTGGCAGAGGGGACGTATCCCCTTCTTTGTGAAGCCCCCTGGACCTGAAGGAGATCAAGAGGTATGAGTTTGTCGGACTTTTCCACCTGTGCAGTTCCATTTAATGATGTTTCTTGCTATGCTAACCTGTGCCCTCTGTGTCAACTTAATTTTTTTTGTAACTGCAATGTTTCCAGGACAAGGAGGTGTTGGCAGTCGAAGGACCCTCAGACATGGTTGAGAATGTCCAGGAGGAGCAGCTCGACAATCCTGATGCCACCTCGGAGGAACACAAGAAACAGCAGCAGCGGCAGCAGAAAGAGAAAGAGCAAGTCCAGAAGATTCTGTCTAACGTTCGACAGAACTTTGGAAAGATCAACGTGGCACCCGAGTTCAGCGAGGAAGACTTGGTTCCCGTGGAGATGCCCGACCTGGACGTGGCTGATTACTCCGGTTCGGATGGCGAGGAGGACGGTGAAGAAGAGGACGGGGAAGACGAAGACGAGACCAAAGTTAAGCCAGCCGATGGTGAGACTGAGGTCCCAGAGCCTTCAACGACTCCGACTGGAAAGGCAGACGGCAACAAGAATCCACGCGCGGTGGTTCGCGAGTTAGATGCCAAGATCGCCAAGTACAAGCAGTTCCTGGACCGGGCCAAATCCAAACGCTTCTCTGAAATCCGGTCCGTCTGCTCCCATCCTAACCTAACTTTAACATTATGTGTTATGCATTGTTTGAATATGTCTTATCCAGTAAAGTAGCACACATTTGTGAGACAGATAGATTATTATTTTTTTTTTTAGGAGGTTGTTGCTAGCAATCCTTTAACCTCCTGGAGGACAAGCAGTCGTCACTTCTAACTTCCTGATTAGAGACCCCAACGTTCCTTGTTTTTTTTTAAGCTCCTGTGAGGAAGTTCAAGCTGGTGAGGAAAGAGGCCTCTCTGAGATTTAAAAAAATGAGACCATCAGTGTAAAGATTAACTATTTATGTGTTTTTTGGGGCTGCTCCATGAGGGTAGGTGTCAAACAATGTGATAAACAGTGAACTGTTAAAACAGCCATTTTTCAAAACATTTTCCACTGAAATTATTCTCTAAGGTATACTCTTGCCTTTGAAATGGGTGCAGGATGAGGTTTTGTGCTAAGAAAAATTCCTTAAAATGTTAAGAACAAAATCAGCAAAGAAAAGAGAGGTATCGATTTGTCCACAGGGGGCGCCACAATCAAACCAAACCAAAGTTCCTCACAGGAGCTTTAATCTGCATGTCCTCTTGTTGAAATTCAGCCCATACATGCAGCCCAAAGTGAGAAAAAAAAATCCTAATTAAATTGCTGATCCTTTCTTCAGATCCCAACCGGTTTGAAATGTTTTCTTGAGTAATGAATTGCTTTCTTTTTTTTCATCACACAGGATACCTAAGGCACTCTCTGACAAAGTGTTCACAGACATGAAGACTAAACAAGCGGCAGCAGCTAAACAAGCACAGATGAAAGGTAGTCAACATGTTTGTCAAGACCTTGTATGGTGCTGAATGTCAAATCATTTATTCTCAAAAAATATTGCACCATTTCTCAGAACTACGTTAACAAAAACCCACGCATGCCAACTCACTGTTATGATGGTGCATTTCCCAGAGTTTAACCAGGAGTTATACAACCAGGTCAAGTTGATTTTAAAGTCAACCAGCCACTTGACATCAGATCTGTTAATCTTCTGTTTGACTTCAGCTGCGAACCAGAAGAAGGGGAGAGCCGGGGATGACGAGCAGTCCACCCAGGCGCGCAGACTGACATCCAAACAGGTATGCAGTGTTTGCTCTCTCTGACGTCAAACAGATCACTCTGCCTGGACAAGATAAATGTCTATTCATCTAACTGATGTAATAGGTTTAAAAAAAATAATAAGAATGAAACACTGATTACATTTTTTAACTGAATAATTTTTCTGTTTCTGCTTTATCTGTCTTAACAGAGAAGAGCGATGGACCGTGCAAAGAAAGCAAAGAAAGTTGGTGTGCGCTATTACGAAACGCACAACGTGAAAAACAAGAACAAGAACAGAAAGGCCCCGGCTTCATCCACAGAGGGCCACAAGGCTAAAAGATCGAAGCACTAGAGAGAAGTCTTTAAAGGCAACATGTAATGATTCTTCTATTTAAATTAGCCCAAAAAAGGACATATTAATGGAACCAAGGAGTTGAAAGACGGTGGACTTATAACAGGTGTGTATAAAGGGTTTTATCAAGTAGCCACTTGATGCCTTATCCTGACCGCGTGTCCCTCTCGGAACAAAAACTGCCTTCTCAACTTTTTCTCCCCTTCAACCAAGAACTGTGTTTGAATGACTTTTCATTCATCATAAACACGTGTGATGCTCTCTTGATGTTCAAGAGATGTGTACAGTACATGAGCTGTACTTGTCATGTCATGCTGTTGGAATAAATGAAACTCTTTCTGATTACAGTGTGGAATTTACTTTGATAGATATTTAGAAACAAGACAAATGTCACATTGTGTGCAGTCAAATGGCCACTCTGTTATTGATGGTGGTGTTACTTCTTTGGTGTGATGATCCCTTCCAGTTGGGTCTAAAGAGCAAAACAAAGAATATTAACATCATAACCACATCCACGACAGGAACAAGTGCAGGGGGAAGATATATTTCTGTGGTATGAAGCCTTGAAACGGCACCTTGAGCTGCAGGTTGGTTCTCTTGAGCAACTGGATCTGTTCCACGTGCTTCTTCTCTTCAATCTGTCGCCTTTCAGTTTCTCGTTTTTCAATGGCATCACATTGAGACTTGAGTTCGTTCAGTTGCTTCTTCAGCTCCAGTTTCTCATCGTCAAGATCAGTAATCTAGGTATTTGAAGTTTATTCAAATGCAGGATCAACGATGTTAAGACCAAACATTATTTTAGAGGAATGCTGCCCTCTGCTGGATACTAAACCGAATAGCATTCGATAGTTATGCCTTCAGCTTCTGTGGCAAATACTGTATATTCTCTATACTATCGATGGATGCCAATATTGGCAAACATTACACATTTGTATGCCATCTATTGTTGCTAAACACAACAAAAAAGTGACTGTCCTTACTTTTTTCTCCATGTCAACCTTTCCCTGCTCTGACTGAAGGGCTTTCCTCATACCGAAGGCCACACTGCTTTCATACAGAGTCTGGTAGGCAGCAATAGTCATTTGAATCTCGTCTCTGACCCGCAAGAGCAGCAGGCCACTCTCAGCACAGTTGATGGTCACCTGTCTGATGAGCTCATCTTAAAGAAACAGAAAATGAGTAAATGCAACAGTAACACATTTGAGGAGTAAAATGTGCCTTCAGTGGTATACAAAATGCTTCAGAAGAAAGCTGTATGGCAATGAAATTTAAGCCATGTGTACACAAAAATCTGGTTCAAATTCCTCAATACTTGTCAACACAATAGCCTCAGTGATCACAAATATCAGAGCCTCCTTCTCACCAAAGCACTGAGAATAGAGCTCCCTGCGGACAGGGCAGATTCCTGTCTGTCTGGCCTGCCTTTGTTGCAGCTTTGTGTCCAGCAGCTCCTCCTGGTGAATAACATCTGTTCTTGTACAAGGTGCACTGGACACTTGCTGCACCCACGTCTGGGTTCTGTCAGTCCATTCCCTGCAATAACAGAAGTTTAGATAAACTGAGTGGATTGAATTTAATGAATGACACACTGTAGATGGATGCAACTGTACCTAGGTGGAAGGATGGCGTTTAGGATCTCCTCATCTTCCTGCTTGGTGGTGTCAGTAGAGGTGGGTTTTGACTTTGGAGGTGGTGGAACAGGGGTAGACTGTCCCCTCACCTGCTGTGGACCCACTTTTAAAGGGCGCCCCTGTTGTGAAAAATATGTGATGTTACACAGTGAACCAACTTTCTTTGCCTATCTGAAATACATGATACAGTATATTCATCATCATTTAATAACTTTAAAACGCTTTGGGGATTGAAAGATGTTGGTAAAAAACAAACAAACATAGAAACAGCCCTTATAGCAGGACTATCTGTACGCCATCATGCCTAACTTTGACCACTTAAACGTCGACTAAAACTCGGCTGGCGTTACTAAACTTACCTTTAGTGATTTTCTGTCAGTGCTTTTGCTGATCAAAACTGGATTGTCGTATTTGAGGAGAGATTCGGCTGGTGGAATCATCTTTTTCAATCTGATAGTTTGAACAAAATAAAAGCAGAAACTCCTGGTTGGTCTGTGATTGAGCTACAGGGATATCGCTGCTGTTTCAAAGGACGCCGTTCTTGCTCACTGTTTGTGTTGTCATAGCAACACCGTCCTAGTGTCCCTCTTCAGTTTGACCGTCTGGAATCAGTGGTTAGATTAATATTTAGTAAGTGGTTTTGTATCTTTTTTGTCAGTGCGCCACACATGCATGCTTGTCAGCTCATTTTTCGAGTATTATGTTGCATCGTTTATTTTTTGGTATAATTTATTTATTTTTATTTTTTTTTCAAAGCACTACAAAAGACGACAGCTAATGGCAATACGAATGTTCGCTTTTTTATTATTATTATATAACATTCTTAAACGTTTGTTAAAAAAAAATAATAATAAAAAAAAAAAATTGTTCTCAAGTAACCGAGAAGGAACACACGGAACGATTTACAGTAATCCAGCCGAGATCATTTCTGAGTGAACCGCCGGAAGCGGAAGCTCGTAGTTTGCGCAACAGACAAAGTTTATTGTCGCGACGTGTTTTTGAGTTTCTCTTTGTTGTTTTGTAAGGACGCAGATGTAAGTTCGCTCTCAACGCGACTGTATTAGTTTATACACTTTATGATGACCAAAGAAAAGCGACACAGGAGGAGGGAATCTCCCGAGCGGGAGTCCAAAGTGAAGATTAAGCAGGAGAAACTGAGCCCGGAAAGGCCACAGACATCGCGCCGCTCTCGATCCAGATCCGCTGGCCACTCGAGTCCACCGAGGAGACGAAATAGCAGGTCATTTCGATTTAATACCATCATCTTACGATTTGTCCCACTTATTCTAGTTGTTTACCTGAACGGAAAAGATAAGTGTGCCATCATAAACATCGCGTATTAGTCGTGATAGTTTCAAAAAAAAACAAAACGTGGCTGTGTGTAGGATCTGTTGAATGTCTTGTAAACAGTCTATTTCTGTGTTCTTCTTTCTGTAGGTCACCTGTAAGAACGAGAGACCGCTCTCCAGGTAGAAGAGACACTTCTCCAGGTAGAAGAGGCAGCAGGTCGCCCAGAAACAGGAGGAGTCGAAGTCCTCCCCGCGGTGCTGATGTCAAAGTAAAACGGGTGCGTCTAAATATAATACATAACACGTTTTCAAGACTGAGCAGTTTCAGCTACTACAAGAAAGAAAAGGATAACTTCTCATCAAATACAGTTTTAGGCATCCAAAATGTGGTTATAGTTTAAACAGATAACACAGTTTCCAAAACGGTTTACATCTGCTGCTTTCTTGAGATGTGTTTTCATAATGTTTAATAATAATAACAATTCAATTATAGATTTTATCATTTTAAAGGGACACACTGTGAATAGAGTTTACAAAGTGGATGGGTGCAAACAAAAGCAAGACAAGAACAGTTCAGACAGAATAGCCTTTAGTCAAGATGATAAAATACAACAACAAAAAAAAACCGAATTTAAAAGACAGAAGGATGAAAATAGGAAAAATGAACGAGTTGTATATCTTCATTAAAATAATAAAATAAAGCACTCCCATGTGTCATAATAAGGATGTTGTAGCTATCATTATACTTGCAGTAAACTTACATCCATGTTATAAGAGACTCATGACAGTACAACCATATCTATAGAGTCATCAGTGTAAAGTGCAGATACCGTAATGGCTGCTTTTCAATCATATCCGTCTGACAATATAACCCCGGAAATGGTGACTCTTCTGTACAAAACCACAACTATGCAAAGTTTCTCCTTGATTAATAATTTAAATTGAACCTTTTTTTTTTTCCGAAATATCCCACAGGAACGGGAGGAGTCTCGGGCGAGTGGTGACGAGAGGAGGAGAAGAAACAACCCACCAGAAGAGAGACGGAGCAGGTGGGAATCAGACAGACCGCAGAACACAGAGCCGGACAGAGACCACAGTGGAGACAGAGGCCGCAGCGGAGACAGGGACAGAGGCCGCAGCGGGGACAGAGACCGCAGCGGAGAGAGGGACAGGGACCGCAGCGGAGACAGACACAGAGGCCGAGGCGCATTTGCCGCCCAACAAGCTGAGCGACAGCAGAACAACCAGCGGCGCAGGGAAAACCGCCAGCGCCGCGAGGAAAACCAAGAGGAAGATTTCGGAAGGTCAGAGGAAGGAGACGACGACTCCAATCCCGCTCCTGCTGAGGTGGAGAAGCCCAACTTCGGGCTGTCCGGGGCGCTCACAGAAGATACAAACACATTCCGGGGGGTGGTGATCAAGTACAACGAGCCACCCGAGGCGCGCATTCCCAAACGCAGATGGCGACTGTACCCTTTCAAGAATGACGAACCCCTTCCTGTGATGTACATTCACAGACAGAGTGCCTATTTGTTGGGGAGGCAGAGAAAAATCGCTGATATCCCCATTGACCACCCATCCTGCTCAAAGCAACATGCAGTATTCCAGTACAGGTAAGTAAAACAGTCTTACGTCTTGAAATGTGTCATCTTTAGTCTGTCGCGTAAAAAACCTGGAAGATTTCTTTTCGAGTAAATCTCTACCTTTCTCTCTCGGTTGTCCGCAGACTGGTGGAGTTCACACGAGCAGATGGCACCTCTGGACGCAGGGTACGGCCTTACATCATTGACCTGGGCTCGGGCAATGGCACCTACCTGAATAACCAGCGCATCGAATCCCAGCGTTATTACGAGCTCAAAGAAAAGGACGTGATCAAGTTTGGCTTCAGCAGCCGCGAGTACGTCCTCCTGCACGAGTTCTCAGATACCGCCGAGGTGGACGCCAAGCAGCAGGAAGACGAAGAGGACGAGGGCCTCGACGAGTAAATAGCTCTCACACTCTCTTTCGCCCGTGTTCATTCAGGCTTAGATAACATCATCGACCTAATATCGGACAGTTGTTTCTGCAGGGAATGAAACAATGTATTGATGGTTAATAGTGGACTACACTAAAACGATGGAACACAGCTTGTTTGTATTTTATGTAATTACCGAACTATTGCTTAAACCTGCCACAACTGTCTCCAGGAAGACTCCCTATTCTCAGGTTGTTTGTGTAACGTCAGAGGGATGCATGACTGACCTCAACAGCAGACAGTGCCCACAACATAAAGTGCTTGGTGCTAGATAGAGATATCTCGCCAAGTGAAATAGTTTATTATATTTTTGGATTACAGCACTGAGTGCAACGTTTAGCTGAATAATCAAATCTTGTTTTCTGTCTTTGGGCTATAGATGTCATCGTACATGATATGTGGAATGTGAACTCTAGATTCATGTTATTCAGCATCGTGATGGAGTTAAACTTTACAGATATTCAACTTAGAATGATGTTGCCTTTTTTTTTTTTTTTTTTGCTTTGTAGAGCAGGGAAAAAAGTTGATACTGTTGTGTGTTTAAAGACTTCCCCTTCGTTTGTCTTTACTGAAGCCCACCCCATTTATAGTCAATGTCCTTTTATGTATTGTAAATAAAGACCGTAAAAGTTTGCAGTCTCCTGAGTTTTTATATACAGTCTGAAGAATTGTGTACATGAATGCAGATCTTTTTATTGTTCTAAAAAAAGACAGATATGAAGATTGAAGTATTTAAATAAAATAAAGACATTTTGGAAGCTTTTTAATTTAGATGGATAGATAGATAGACGGTCCTTTGCAGGAAATGACACCGTCACAGCAGCAACTGCAATCACAGTCAAGACAACGTTGTTATTTATTTTATTGCATATAAATATCTGCATATCATTTTTTTTGGCTTAATTTAGTAAGTCAATGTAAGAAAGTGAAATCAGAATAAATTCCGAATTTAAAAGGAAAGATTCACCGATAGGAAACATCAGGGTCGATCACGATGTTTGAAATAACTATTGAGCTTTTCCCGAGGCTGATGTCTGTTCATGACTTCTTTCAGTGTAAGACTCCCACAATGCTTTATCTCATGTTTGACACTGAAAACAAGTCTGTTTGTTCAACAGGTGTCTTCCTCTGCCCAATAAAAAAGACTTTAATCTAAATCAGTAGTTTGGTGTACTAGATGACAGCTTTAAGTTGATTTGGCACTACAGATAAACATCGATTTATACCACATTATTTGCCGTTGTGCCGATGTCGGTCAACAGGGCCAATATCGGCCGATGATGAACCCCGCATCAGTCCATCGCTAATAAAAAGCTGTTTTTTGATGATGAGACAAATATGGTGGCCTTGAAGGTTGACTGCACAAATATTTTGTTACTGCAAAGACAAATTATTTTTCCAGTAAGTCAAATGTTTTTGGATGTTTCATGAAATACTCTTACCTTTTTTGTAGATGTATTTGCATTTTATTAAATATTTTGTGCATTTAGTGAAATGTTTTGAGCTTCTTGTGAAATGTTTTTTTTTTTTTTTTATCATGAAATAAGTGTGCAGTCCTTCAGGGCCACCGTACTAAAAAAAAAGATACATAAACCTTGAGAAAGTGAAGGAAAGAGATACAGTATACATGTCTATATCACTCATTCAAAACTTTATCTCAGACTCAGGGTCCAGATAAGACAACACAGAAGACCGAGAATACAAAGCACAGTACACAAACACGCAACATTATGCCATGCATTTTATAAAATCACTTTAAGAATAAGATCTAAATGTAACATTGCACGGTTCGAAATGTCCAATTTAAATTGGGAGGCATACAGCGATCAAAATGTACAGAAGCATACTTAAACCATACAAAATGTAACCGGTTTCTAAGTGTCTCATGTCATCAGCTGTACAGTTTCCCCTCAGCAGAGGTCATAAGAGACTCGCGGCTGTGTGGTGTTCAGTTTCAGTCTGAAAATGTCAGCGGGCGGAGCGGAGGAGGGGAGGAGGGGAGGAGGGCGGGTCGAGTGTCGATGAGCACAGGGAATGTTAGTGGATATTCGTTATGAAAGGAGGCGGCGACACACCTGGGGAATTACACGGCCAAGCAACCCTGCAGTGTCATTTTTTTAATGGAGAAGTGAATGCATTGAGTTCCAGCAGATCATAAATAATGTACACCTCGGAACGCCGGCGAATGAGCCTGCACGAGCTGAAGAGGAAAGACCCGGTTTGGGTGTCTGCTGGAAGTTTGTGGCAGGACTCTCTGGCCATAGACCTGAACGGCGGTAAACAGATCGTCTCTCCGCGGAGTCGGACCAGGGCTCTCTCCGTGGCGTACATTGTGAACGAGGACGCATCCGTGCCGCAAACTGAGGAGAACTTATCCCTGAAATGCTTAAAGGAAGCCTGCGCGGACGCACACGCCGTCTTCAAAACCATTCCATTTGAGAGGATCTCACTGGGCGCGACGGACATCCTGGATAGTTTCTACAACGCAGGCAAGTGCAGGCACGCGGACTCTAGTGGTAATCATTGAATTACGCAAACTCACCCTCTGTTTTGACCCCCTCCCCTCCCCACAGATGTTGCAGTGGTGGAGATGAGTGACTTCTTCTGCCAGCCTTCCCTTTTCTATCACCTCGGAGTGAGAGAAAGTTTCAGCATGACTAATAACATCATACTGTACTGTTACAAGAAAGATAGTGATCTACAGGCTGTCAAGGTAAATAAAGCAACCCGGAGCCTGATTACTGTACCAGACAACATGTATGTTTCTGCTTTAAGTGCACCAAGATGAATCGATTGTGAATATATTTGATGATGTCTTCAGATCAGTTTATCCATTACAGCTTTATAAACTAGTTTGTGAGAAATGGAGTGGTTGAATCTTTGCATCAGAGTATGCAGCAGTCATTGTTTTCTGTGAGCGAAGGGAGTTATATGAGGCCAAGATGATTGTTGGCCCCTATTACTAAAATAGGAGTAAAGACGGTCTTCTTGGTTTGTAAAGCAACAACATGAGATGGAAGGGATACGAGTTAGATGCTTTGACTGCATCTAACTCTGATGATTTACTGATTATGTTCATGAACAGCAAAGAAACTTAAAGCTAAATGCCATAATCCCAACGCAAATGTCTGGTTTTGTTGGACTAACAATAGGGAGTTGTTTTTGTTCTAAGTAATTGTTTCATGAAATGATCTATATTATAGAATTTATGTATTTTTAATATAACAGACGTTTATTAAATTCTGGTTTACACTCTGTTATTGAGAGACATGCTTGTCAAACGCATGGTCCTGAATCACACACCCAGTCACCCTCAGGTTCCCAACACAAGATTTTTTTGTAGCCTATGGAATTTGAGAAAAACAAATGACCTTCCATAACAAGAGTAAAATGCAAAATAAATAAGGAACAAACTTACTGTATAACTTGAGATTAGAAAAGGAAATAGGAGGTGACTAAAGTTTTGGTATCGCCTAATTAATAAACTGTTTCCACTCAGTCTGTTTTCAAATTAAGATGCCTAAAATCAAGTGAGACCATGGTGGTTCGTTTGTTGTTTGATGCTTGTATTTTCTGCCCTCAGGAGCAGTGTGGGTGCTACACGTTGATCCCGTACGTAGTGTCCCCTCAGGGCAAAGTGTTTGCTTCTGATGCTGCGATGATGACTGGTATCAAGGACTTGATGCAGCCCAGTTTCCAGCTGGAGCCCCTGCTGACCCCGCTGGTGGAGAGACTGGTTCATCTGCTCAACAATGTTCATGTTCACACCAGGTCAGACCCAAACTGCGGCGCCCTGCTCAGCGGCACGTGCTTTGCCAAAAAACATTATCATCTCAGGTTACACACGCGTTTGCTTGTGTTGTAACTCATTCATGTTAGACTTCACTCAGCTTTTTTTAATTTTTTTTTATTGATGATCAAAAAAGTGTGAGAATATTATGACTCTCTCTGCTCTTCCTGCGTGCACACAGTGAGTATTTCCGGGAGTCGATCAGGCATGAGATCCGTACGGCACGGGAGAGGTTCAGCGGGCAGGCCTTGAGCGAGGAGCTGAGCCGGATACAGAAGCGGCTGGACAGTGTGGAGCTGCTCACTCCTGATATAGTCATGAACCTGCTGCTGTCCTACAGGGACATCCAGGTGTGTGTTTATGTGTGCATGTGATGAAATGCTCACTTATGCAGTATTGTGAAAAATAATTGAAAGGGATTCAGTTAATGTGAAGTCTGGGCTATATGAAAAAATACAAATAAAGGCCGTCAATGATTCCAGTAATTGGTGAATCAACTGAACATAAACATACGTACATTTAGCTGACACACTTGCACCCTGCAAGAGTTTATGATGAGCCAAACCCCAGATTAAAATGGCATGTAAGTTTGTGTAGACACTTTAAGAAGCAACAGTTAAAGGTGCACTGTAATAGATTTGGTAGTGAAATTTGAAAGTTTGAGAACGGGAGCAATTCTGTGCTATATTTTCAGACAACTTAATACAGAAACTTTTTTTTAAAGGAAAGAATGGGTCCCTGGAACACAGTTTGGCGCTTTATAGCTACCAGGAGAGTTACAGTTTCTCTCTTGCGGGCCCCCCCCACCACAGCTTCTCGCACAGCATGTTATCTTCAAACCGTGTTCCAGGGACCAAATTTTCCTCTGAGGACAGTTTGTGAATAGAGTTATGAACATATACCACATAATGTGTACATTTCTCCAACTTTCACATTTCTCTCCTAAAACTCCACAGTGCACCATTAAGGCCCAAATGATAATCAGATATGAATGCTGCAATAATACAGTAAATGTTATTTAGATGAAACATCTGTAAATTCAGTCCCACACTGCCCTCCTCCAACAGGACTACGATTCCATTATCACGCTGGTGGAGACCCTGAACAACCTGCCCATGTGTCTGGTAGCAGGACATCAGAATATTAAGTTTCATTATATATTTGCTCTGAACAGGTAAACAAAAGGATCCTACTAGTTTTACATTCTGCTTTACATATCATCCTCTTATCTCTCTGGCTTCATCTTGGTCTCTAGTTTTTTTCCATTTTAATTTTTGTTTATGACCATTTACTAACCAGCCCGTTCCTGCTGACTCTTCCTTGAATTTTCCACACATCAGGAGGAATCATCCTGGAGATCGTGCTAAAGCTTTGAAGGCCATTCTTCCTATCGTGGAGTCGGGGCAGAAGGTGGCATCGGATGTCTTCTGCCTGTGTGGACGCATCTACAAAGACATGTTCATGAGCTCTGGGTTCACTGACGTGTCCAGCAGAGACCAGGCTTGCTATTGGTACAACCGCTATGTGTTTGTGTTTGCTGTCTTGTTGCACTGACTCGTCCACATGCAGTGACATATTTGTCTTTTTCACTTGTACAACACTTTGGCACTATAGACTTCAATATGTTTTTTTTAAATTGTAGCTGCTTGTACTTGTTTGTTGTTTATGTTGAAATATTATTAACCACGCTACTTTTTCTCGTGTTGTTGTTTAACACATCAGTGCTGCCTTTATATTCTCCACCAGGTACGGAAAAGCGTTCGAGACAGAGCCGACTCTTCACTCAGGCATCAACAACGTGGTCCTCCTGATGGCAGCTGGACATGAATTTGAAACTTCCAT